CAATCATGAAATTCATCTGGAAAAACAAGAGACCCAGAATAGCTAAAGTAATTCTAAGCAGGAAGAGTGAAATTGGTGGTATCGCGACTCCAGATTTTAAACTATACTATAGAGCAATAGTAACAAAAACAGCATGGTACTGGCACCAAAACAGGCTGGTAGACCAATGGTACAAAATAGAGGACACAGAGACAAATCCACAAAATTACTTCTACCTTATATTAGACAAAGGTGCTAAAACCATGCAGTGGAGAAAGGATAGCATCTTAAAGAGATTTCTTAACTGCTTTCCTTTCCTGTAGATTAAAGGATAAAAGTCCTGCTTACTATCACAATCATCAAGATAAGTTCACATGTTCCCTTTTGGTTCCCAACTTTGAGATGAACTTGGAGGCTTCTTTTTATCCTTAGCATAATTCTTTTCTAGCTGCTGTTATTGACAATAGTGACCATTTTTAATACTATTGTACTTCAATGATTGCAGCTTCATAGCAAGACTTTAGTATTCATTAAAATCAACAAACAAGTAAAAAAATATTTAGGAATTTATATTAAATAAAGGCGTTTGTTTATGATTTCTTTGGAGATTAGAGGTGGCAGGAGAAAGGTATTTGCCTTATGAGGCCCTTATGGAAAAAAATACATTTTCACATCAGTTAGTATGAAGGAACACTCTTGATGTGGTCTGAGATGATTATAATGATACATTTAGAGTAAATATTCTTTTGTTTTTAATGACTAGATTCTTAGAACTAGTTGATCTTGCTGTCCCCTTGTACAATATTGTTTTTCCCTTTGTGAGTAACCTTATTACAAAAAAAAAAAAAAAACTTGAAAGTTTCAAATCAGTTCAGGTTAGATTATTTGATGTTAATAATATCAGGCTCTAGTGCCTGTCAGAGTAGCATCATCAYTTAATTTTGCTACCTATCCACCCAATTTTAGCACCAGAGAATAATTATAAGAGGACAATTTTAAGTGGCAAATATGGCAAGTTTGTATTGTTACAGAGTTCATTTAAAATGATAGGAAAAATGAGAGGGTTTCATGTTCCTATCTAGAAACCATTCTGCTCTTTTTTTTTTTTTTTCCTTATGAAGTGGGCCAGATGGAGAATATATCTCCAGGACAAATCATTGATGAGCCTATCCGTCCAGTCAACATTCCCAGGAAAGAAAAAGATTTCCAAGGAATGCTGGAATACAAGAAGGAAGATGAGCAAAAGCTTGTTAAGAACCTGATTCTAGGTAAGTATTCTCTACATGGGATAAAAGCTCTTTCTAGTATGTGTGGCAGTGGTGGGAAGACTAATCAATCATTTTTAAGTATTCAACACTGAAGTTTCTTTAGTCATAATTACATGCTGTACATTGCAGTGCTGCTACAGCATCTTGACTACCCTATGCTTTGTTAGTCAAACTGCAGGGACAAGTGCTTAGGACCTAACTGTAAGGATCTCTTGAGGCCCGGCCTTCTCAGTCCTATGGGCACATTAGAATCACCAACAAACTTTAGAAAAGTATTGATGGTCCCTCTAACTTAAGCCAATTAAATTAAAATCTGTAGGAAATAGAGCCTGGCCATGTCTAGTACTTTTAAAATAGCCTCTCAAGGGATTCTTACAGTTGAATACCTATAGGCCTTTTAGGTTTCTGAATTTCTGTTTTTCCTTACTTCCCTGGAAAGTTTTATATCTAAATATGTTGAGGACAACAGTTTAGTAATAAAGAAGAAACAAAAGAATTAAGATAAAGATTACAGTAAAGGAAGGACAGGGTAGGACAAATGAGAAGGGAGTCCAGAAGCATTATAGAGRGCATCAGGCCTTGGGTGTGAGCCTTCTGGCTCTGTGAGAAGACAGTTCAGGGGCTGGTGGTAAACAAGGAAAGAGTACACACACCCATGAGTTGTGAACTGAAAAAACTTAAAACTGCTCCGTCAGCATTTGTACAGCATTCTACCACCCAACTGCCAGGGTGACAGCAGTGTGATTGGCAGTTATATTTGATTTAACATTCTTCAGGTTCATGGCATTAAACTCAGAACTATATATAGGTACAGAGGTACTTCAGTTTCAACATGATCTTCATTTAGCAAAAATGTTCAAGAGGTCATTGTTTGGGGGGTATAAAAAAGAATAAAGAATGAAGGAAGGTGTGTTGTTTTATATAAAATTTGTCAGGAAACATTTTTTTGATAAGGTAATCTTTGGACATAGGCTAAAGGAAGTAAGAGAGCTGATATCTGAGTAAAGAACCTTAGAGGCAGAAAAAAATAGTAAGTTTATAGGCCTTGGGGTGGGAGCAGGCCAGGTATATTCAGCCAACAGTAAGGAAATGCATTTGACTGAAGCAGGTAATCCAGGGCTTGGGAAGAGGAACAGGGCCAGATCATGTGGACTACATGAGGATTTCAGATTTTATAAATGGGTGAGATGAGAAGCTGCCTGGAGGATTCTTGAACAAGAGTTAGACAATCTTACCTATATTTTTTAAAAGAAATACTGTAGTTGATATATAGAAAATATACTGTGGGGCAAAGGGTGCACCAAGGAGACCARGTAAGAATCTCTTATAGCAAATCGAGAAGAGATAATGGTGGTCTAGCTAGTTACTGTAATACCTAGTTACTATAGTGCAAAGGAGTTTGGACTCTGGGTATATTTTTTAGGGAGAGCCAGCAGGATCCATTGGTGGATTAGGTATGTATTATGAGAAAAGAAAGGAGCCAAAGARATGAGGAGGTTTATAACCTGAGATACTGGAAGATTGGAGCTGCCATTTCCAAACACTGAAAGAGCAGGTTTATCAGAGAACCAGGAGCTTGGTTTGGGAGAGGTTCAGTTTGACATATCTAAGGAGAGATATCAAGAAGGCAGTTGATACATAAGACTGGAGTTCAAGGGAAGAGTCAGGGCAGGACATATAAATATTAGATAGACATGTCCCCACTCTCAAGAATTTCTCCTCTCAACGATTTGTTAAAATACTCTTTTTTTGCTGGACATGATGGCTCATGCCTATAATCCCAGCAATTTGGGAATCTGAGGCAGGGGGATTGAAAGTTCAAGGCCAGCCCCTACAATGTAGCAAGACCCCACCCCCAACTCCCTTCCACCAAGCAACTTAGCAAGACCCCATCTCAAAATAGGAAATTAAAAGTACTGGGGTCATAGCTCAGTGGTAAAGTGAYCCTGGGTTCAATTCCCAGTACAAAAAAAAATTTTTTTTTAAATCTGATTTACCCTGATTGATTGAACTTTATATGACTGTGCTTTTATATCTGGCAAAGCATGCTTTACAGAGACTTTCAATGTAGTATAATTTTACATTTTTTTTCATTTTCCAGAACTAAAACCACGGGGTGTAGCAGTCAATTTGATTCCAGGGCTACCAGCATATATTCTGTTTATGTGCGTTCGACATGCCGATTACCTGAATGATGATCAGAAAGTAAGGTCATTACTAACGTCAACAATTAACAGCATCAAAAAAGTATTGAAGGTGAGCTCAAGTTCAACAAAATTCTCATGATGAATGTTCATGATGACAGTCTATGCAGACATGSTTTTTCTTCCATGGACTTGGGCAAAGTTGCTAGTTCTTTTCCAGTGTTAACTAAAAACTTGCAGTTTAGGAAACATTCTTCCTTGCAACCTCTCTGTATACTTTCTTTTAGAACATGACTCAAATTGGATATGTAGCAAAATTAATTTGATATAATTGCATTTATTTGGGGAGTAAATTTAATCTCTTCATGGACAGAAATAGTCTGTTTTAAGATTATACTTGGAACTAAATTAAAAATATTCAGTGGAGAAGGGATAGGTAGGTAGGTAGATAGATAGATAGATAGATAGATAGATAGATAGATAGATAGATAGATAGATAGATAGGATAATGCTAATGTTAAAATGGACGTTCAATAATACATGGCTTGTTCATATGAAAACAAGTCTGATAAAGCATTAAAATATTTTCTTCCAACTTTTGTACCCATTATTCTCCAACTCACCCCATAATTCTTCTTGTTACCTAAAATGCCTGCTTCCATGTGAAAAGCAACATAAGATGCTAATCAGAGAAGACAGACTTGGAAGAGGCAGCAGCATTACATAACCAAGCAGAAAGCCCTACATAACTCAGTAATCTCTGAGTCACCTTGCATAATCCTCCTCTTGACTGTAGAGAAACAACGATCATCATACTTAGTTTTAACTTAGTGTTTCTATGAGGAATTGACATAATGTGCTCCAGGTGCTTTGCCTTCTGATTATCTAACTTAATGAGGATGAAGATAAGTAAGTAGTTAACAGTGGATTCTCTCAACTCTAAGATGCCTTTCTTGAACTTTAATTGTGGTACAATATATATATAAACAAAAAATTTACCATATTAACCATTTATAAGTGTATAGTTATGTGGCAGTAAGTGTATTCACAGTGTGTACAACCATCAACAGCATCCATTTGTAGAACTGTCTCATCTTCCCCAACTAAAACTCTGCACCCATTAAACACTAACTCTCTGTTCCTCTCCACCCTGCACCCCCTGATCATGAACTTCTGAAAAATTCTGGTTCTTAGTCTCTATTCTGCAGATATTCTATGAATATCCGCTGAAATGTGGAGTTTCTGAAGACTTAACTTTTAAAAACTGATTGATGTTTTCCTGAATATAACTCATTTGATTTTTTACATATTGGTGCTATATTGCACTTCSACTACAAGTTTTGCCACTTAAGTTAACTCCTAATTAGACAAAAGCAAAGTTTTCCCTCAACCTTGCAAGAAGGCATTTATTTATTGTGCCACGTTGTTTAAAGATTAGAAAGGAGTGGGTACTAGAACAAAATATCCTTTTGATGCCATTTAAAATTGTGGTACATGTGTCTCACATCTGGTTTTGATTTTAGCAACTGTTTTTTTTCACATGGGCTCTGAAGCAGCATAACTAGCCAAGGACATATGGAGAATCCGTACAGTTTTTAGCTCTTAGATCATTTATTTCTAGTAAATCAAAATCTGCAAGTGTCATTGCATTCATCTTGTCTTCTCTGTGAGACAGTCAGATAATATTGATTTATTATTTAATTTTGACCAAACATGATATTTTCACCTAAAAATATTGTTTTTGGCAAGCTAGATCTAGTAACTTCTTGAGTACAGAATTAGCATTCAATTATAAATTTTTTAAGTTTCCAAAGAAGCAAATGGTTTCTTATTTTGAAGTATTGAATATAGGATATTTGATGTTAATGAAAATAAAAGTCCCCTTTAGTGTTCATGCTGAAAGAAATGGTATGTATTGAGTTAATTTTTTTTAAAGTAGCTTAGCAAAGACTGCAGCCCAGTAATGAGAAAAAATGCTGAATTATTTCTGTAATGAAGTCTTCTCAAGTTTTAACCAATTGCATCTGGTAATTCTCCACTCCCAGTGGAGAGTGGGGATTCTGGTAATTCTTTGGTATAGGTGCAGTTACACGCTTTATCTTGAGGTTGTTCCAAGGATCTCTGCAGTTTTACTTGTCTAAATATCAGCAGAGACAACCTAGACAAGAGCTTCAGTGTCCCTGTTCCACCAGTCAACCTGAGGCCAGCTTTACTCTTGAATTTGTACTGATGGTCTTTCTCAGCTCAGCCCAGAGCCTTTATTAGCAGCAGTTGTCATGCAGGTTTTTTGCAAGACTTAAAATAGTTTTTGGTCAAACCTTCACTCAAGCCATAAGATGATTTTTTGTGTTTGGGAGTATCATAAAATTTTATGCACTTTTGGTACTCTTCCTAATATTGGAAGATTATTGTAGCTAGCTAGATCTTTCAGATATTTACCTTATGGTAAATTGAAGACCAGAACCTAATAGTCCTGTTTCAGCTAAAAAGACAAATTATGATTTCCATCGTCTGAGATTTCTTTCTTAAAGTCTTTTCAGAAAAATATTCTCCAAAAAGTTAAGGGTTTTAGTTTGTTTTGCACTTGATTGAGGAAATAATTTTATTACGTAAAGAAATGATTCGGTCTGGGGTTGTAGCTCAGTGCTCATCTTGCATGTGTTAGGCACTGAGTTCAATCCTCAACACCACATAAAAATGAATAAATAAAATAAAGGTATTTAAAAAAAGAAGAAATGCTTCTATGAGAAATCTGTCTTTCCCTGTGATATATCCTACTCCAAGTACACTTTTACTACATAAAGCTACAACCAAAGACCAAAGGCAGGTGTTCTCATATAACTTTTAAGAACCTAGGCTTTGAGATATAGTAGAAAAGTTATTAGAATTTAACATTTTTAAAAAAGAACTCTTAAATTAAAAGCATAGCTATTTAGTGCTGGACAGCTGTCCCAGGTAAACTATTGTAGTTTTTCTGTGTATCATTTTCTGGAAAAAGGTATAGGCAAATATTGATAGTTCTGTGACTTTCCATATCCAAACTAGTTAATGGTTTTGTTTGTAGAGTTATAGAACTTCTGAGTATGGCTACTCCTCAGCCCCTGAAAAACACCCAGACTCTTTTTCAGGCACAGTGACTCTCTTTTCCTTCCTTCCACTCTTTCCCATCCCTGGTGAAGAGCCAACCAGCTTCACCCTCTCTGTAATGCGCAGTGCAGGATTTTTCCCACCATTTCCCTGGTTCACTGCTCAGACATTTTATTTTATTCTTGAAAAGATTTTTTAGCTAAGTTGGGTGAGTGCTTCAGACTCTTTTTCATATTCTTTTTTTTGAATCAAATTCATATTCTTTATCATAAAATTTGTCATTCTCTTTTGTGCCTTTAGTTTTTTCTGATTTTTTTTTCCTTAACCCCAACGGAAGTGAGTTCAAATCAGCTGTGGGTTGAATTTTTTACTGCATAAAAGAATACTAACATCGACTAAATGGGAATACTTTTTCTAATAGCAAGAAAAGTAACAAACAGCCAATGAACCTATGGTTTATATTCTGCTAGCAATGATGTAAGGCTGCAATGTGATTTATTTATTTTTGTAATAGTTCATGATGGTAACTAAGAGAAATAGGCCTTCTGGTGTCTGTTCAATTTTTTTCAGTTGTTATTTCTCTAAGGAAAAGACAAATTTAGACTTATTCTCTTTTTCAGAAAAGAGGTGATGATTTTGAAACTGTCTCCTTCTGGCTCTCTAACACATGCCGATTTTTGCACTGTTTGAAGCAGTACAGTGGAGAAGAGGTGAGAAAATCTTGCTTATAAAACCAGCATGCTATTCTTTCTTATTGTTTTTAAGGAAAAATTTTAAAGTGAAAAATATTTAAACATATGTTAATTCCAAAACTCAAATTCAAAGATGGCTTGCGAATTCATCTTTTTGTTTAATGTTCATTACCTACCAAACAGTGAATTGAGGAATGACATCGTTTCTTCACTGTTAGAGTTTAAATTATGAGAAAGCACAACAAAAATAAAATAAACCTCAGTCAATGAATATTATCATAAATGAATCTTTTTGCCAGTACATTGAAGCGAACTGTCAAGAGCTAATATTGGAATACTGAATTATTTAGAAATTTGTCAGTTTTGGCTTGCTACTGGTGATTGGGGACAAAATATAATCTAAGATAATGTGTATTTTGTTTTCTGTTTGTTTGTTGTATAGGTATTGAACCCAGGGTGCTTTACCACTGAACTACATCCTTAGCCTTTCTTATTTTTTATTTTGAGATAGGATTTCATTAGGTTGCCTAGGCCTCCATTAATTGCTGGGACTAGCCTTGAACTCCCAATCCTCCTGCCTCCACCTCCCAATCACTGGGATTATAGGCATGTGCCACCATGCCCTGCTCTCATGTGTCTTTTGATCTGTATAAAAATCTATATTACTTTTGTTTGTACTGATGTGTTCTTTAGTTGTTTGATAAACTTCAAAATATCTTACAATTATGTAAAATAATAATTTTTATTAATAATATTATCTCTTTATTATATTAATATATATTTTTATATATTAATACATTTTATTATTTAGTATATATCTGACAGCACTCAGTATATTTATGTTATTTAATTTTTATAACATATTTGCATGGTAGGAATCAAAAACCYAGTTTTACAGATGAAAAAAACTGAAATGTTGCCTAAGTCTGGGATTCTGGGACAGCCTACCTCTTCAAGCCTGTACCCCTAGCCCACTGTCCTCTACACCTCCCCATCCTTTGCAGAAGGGCAGGCAGAAAAACTGACCAGTAACACCCAGAGGCAAAGGACTGTCCTCAAAAATGATGGCAAATATAAAGATAAGCAAGACACCTGAGAACATGGAACCGACATAAGAATCCCCCAGAAAGTGCTGGGCATGTTGATGCATGCCTGTAATCCCAGCAGCTCGAGGTGAGACAGGAGGATCACAAGTTCAAAGCCAGCCTTAGCAATTTAGCAAGGCCCTAAGCAACTCAGTGAGACCCTACCTCTAAATAAAAAAATATACAAAATAGTGCTGGAGATATGGCTCAGTGGTTGAGTACCCCTGAGTTCAATCCCCAGTACCCACCTCCAGAAAGGCCATTAACTATGACCTGTCCATCCCCTCTTTTAGACCATGTCCTTAAATTAGTTATCGGAAGGTAGATACTTGACTAAGGGCAGAATCCATCAAGTAAACAATTGCCTTTATTAAGCAATATCAAGTGAGCAGCATGTTCGGATGCAAAAATAACTGCAAAAACGACCTGTTTGTATAGTTAACTTTTCTTTTTAACAGCTACCACCAAAACATTTCATTCTAATCTCTGACTAAAAATAATGTGGATACCATGAAATATAATGAAAGGAAAATTTTTGTTATTTACCAGTCTCTGTAGAAATTGGTCCATTTCAAGATTATAGAGGCCCTATGGGTGTAGTTTTTATGAATAGGACTGTATTTAGTGAGCTGAAGTTAAGAAATTAGTACTTTAAGATAATTTAGTGTTTAGCAGTAAACCTGCTATTTCATAAATGAAACCTCATTCATTTTTTTTTAGTTAAATTCTCCCACTTATTTCATTGACATTGCTATTARAATGGCTTAAATGCTGGGTTGCCAACTGTATCTATTATTCAAAAGCTTGTAAGAAGTGGAAGGAAGAAATGATAAAAGCAAACAAGCACATACCAGCAACTGAATGATTATCCTGGAATTTTTGTGTGGGATAAATGGAAACCCTTGGGAGAGAGAAGAAAGAGCATAAAGATGCTCACCAAACTGGAGATAGTGAGGCAGACAGAAGAGGTGCTTGACCTCATGTGTATCATTAACTTTTCTTTATGACTCTAGGGCTTCATGAAGCATAATACCTCTCGCCAAAATGAACACTGCCTCACCAATTTTGACTTGGCTGAGTATCGGCAGGTGCTGAGTGACTTGGCCATTCAGATTTACCAACAGCTTGTACGGGTATTAGAGAACATCCTTCAACCAATGATTGGTAAGGCCAGACATCACTGAACATCACAGTCTGTCTATCTCATCAATGAGTGACTGCCAGTGGCACATATTTCAGGGCATAAATTAATGTGGAGAACATAAACAGCCCTAAAATTATCTGAGGAATCCCGGAACTCCAGCCATGGCTACCTGGCATACTACAGAAATTCATTTTTCCACATGATCAAAACAGTGGATCTGGATCCCATTCTTAATGTGTAATGCTTTTCTCTTCTGATTGTCATATTCCTTATAACCAGAAATAGACCTTATCTCTTGTTCAGTTTTCTATAATGCTTCAAACTTTGGACTATGGCGCTACTGCACAGGGCTTCCTAGGGGCCCTCRCCTAAAAACAAGGAGGCTGGGGAAGGTTTGAACTTTGCCTAATAATCTACAGTGAAATGACTGAGAAGGTACTATGTCAACAAGAACATGACCCATAGGTTTGTCTCAGACACTCCAAGCTGAGTTGTACATCTGGACATTTTAACGGCAATTTTAAAGGCTTACGGTGGTTTCTCAGCTGAGTTGCTTGTGTGTGTGTGTGTGTGTGTGTGTGTGTGTGTGTGTGTATTCAGCTCAATGTGTGATTCCATGTACCTCTCTTTATCAATGTGTACTCATTCTGGGTGTTTATTTATATATTGTACTATCTGTGTTTCTTTGGAATGTGTAGCAGGTAGGAACAGAATTTAGGAGTCAAGCTACTAGTTTTGAATGCATTTAAAGTTTAAAAATTTTTTTTCAAGTTACCAACACTGTTATCTTCATGCAGATTATCAGCAGACTCTTAAGGCTACTTCTAGCTACCTACTCTTTCTTTCTCCACCCATGTGTTTTTTCATATTTCCACAATTTTTTTTATTTCCCTTCTAAGAACTCATAGTATTCTATTGTTTTTTGTAGGCCCACAATTAACCAGAGACTAAAARGTTAAGGAAGCCATGCCAGATGGCAGTTGTTTTTTCTATTGTCTACTAAAAGGTCAACCTGGCCAAAATAAAGGAGGTAACAGAGACAAAGGTCAGCTTTAGCAAATCTTCTAGTTTTGCTTGTTTGTATTGGTTGGCTGAAGAAGAAGTTTGCCTCTAAGATGTCCCACTCTAAATAACTGCTTCCATCTCCCAGGCATTTCATAGCAGTGACCCCCCCCCCAAAAAAAAAATTGTCAGAGTGAGTTTCTGAGAAGCTGAGTTTAGCACAAAGAGGTAAAAATGAACCAGGAGTGATCTTTGCTTTTAAGGGGTTACTGGACAGGGAGTGGACATCTCAGAAGTATCTTAAGGGAGGCATCAGCCAGATGCTCTGAGAGCACAGTAGGGGAACAGCATGCCACAAACCAAAAGACTAAGTCCTGGAATGCTGAGGCTAGCTCAAGGTCTCATTGCTATTGTGGGAAACCCAGGCCAAGGAAGGACCCAGCTCTCCAGTTCCACTCAAACTGCCTCTCCCAGGTCTCCTCCAAGACTATTTCTAAGTGTTACATTTTTCTTACTGTTTTATTGCCTCTGAGACTCAAATATGAAGAATGCTTATCTTTTTATTAGTTCATTATAGATATATGTAATATTGTGGTTCATTTTTCATTATTATACAAGCATAGAATATAATTTGCTCCAATTTAGTCCTTAGTACCTCCCCATTACCTCTCCTCCTTCCTCTCTGTCTCTCTGTTCCTTCCCTCTACAGTACTGATCTTTCCTTTTAAACTAGTGCATTGTGGATATACATAAATGTGAAATTCACTGTGGTATATTCATATGTGTTCATAGAAAAGTTTGATCAGATTCATTCCACCATTCTTTCCTTTTCCTGTCTCTCCTCCCTCCCTTCCTCTATTTCACTGATCTATCTTCTATTTTCATGGGATTCACACCCCTTTATCTTTTCTTCCCCCTTATTTTGGTCTAGCTTTCCCATATGAGAGAAAACATTCAAAACTTGACTTTCTGAGTCTGGCTTATTTCAGTTAGCATTGACGATCTCCAGTTCTATCCATTTACCAGCAAATGCCATAATTTCATTCTTCTTTATGGCTAAGTGAAGTACCATTGTGAATATATAGCACATTTTTTTATCCATTTGTCTGTTGACAAACACCTGGGCTGGTTGGATATTGTGAATTGTGCTGCTATAAACATTGATATTGTTGCATCCCCTATAGCTTGYTGATTTTAGATCCTTTGGGTAAATACTGAGGGGTCAGATAGATGGGTCATATGGAGGTTCCATTTCTAGTTTTTTGAGGAAATTCCATACTTCTTTCCTGAATGGTTTACTAATTTGCAATCCTTCCAATAATATTGGTGAGTACTCCCCACATCTTCACCAACATTTATTATTATTTGTATTCTTAATAATTTCCAAGAAATGCTTATCTTAACACTAACCTCTCAAAAACCCACCCAAGATGCCATAGCTTCTCCTATCATAAGGCTACTACTTCTTACTTTAGAAACTACATCATTAAGGATACTTACTTTATTTTATTTTGAATTTTAAAGTATTTTGATATTTATTTTCATTTTCAATGTTAAACTTRAATGCATATAAAAATATATATAGGTTTCATCAATATGTACTCATATTTACAAAATTTATATTCATAGGACTCATAATTTACTCTTCCTTCTTTCAGGTCTTGTATGTTTATGTATGTTTTCACACATAATTTCAAATATACATTCTTATTAATATTCATATTTCCTCATATTAATCTTAATTCTATAACACTAACCCTAGCTCAAGACAAAATTTGATGTTACCCTTTCCATACCTCTCTATCTAAACCTAATGTGACTTAAATCCATGTACACAAATATGAATTTTAAAGTGTATTTTGACTTGTTTTTTATTTTTTTAATTTATTCTAATTTGTTATATATGACAGCAGAATGCATTTCAATTCATAGTACACATATAGAACACAATTTTTCATGTCTCTGGTTGTACACAAAGTAGAGTCACATCATTCATGTTTTCATACATGTACTTAGAGTAATCATGTCCATCTCATTACACCATCTTTCCGACCCTCCTGCCCCCTCTCTTCCCCTCCCTCCATTTTGGCCTATCTAAAGTTCCTCCATTCTCCCATACTCACCCCACCATTCCCATTATGGGTCAGCATCCCCCATCAGATAAAACATTTGGTATTTGGTATTTGGTTTTTGGGGATTGGCTTACTTCACTTTGCATGATATTCTCCAACTCCATCCTTTTACCTGCAAATGCCATGATTTTATTCTTTTTAATTCCTGAATAGTATTCCATTGTGTATATACCACAGTTTCTTTATCCACTTATCTACTGAATGGCATCTAGGTTGGTTCCACAATTTAGCTATTGTGAATTGTGCTGCTATAAACACTGATGTGGCTGCATCACTATGTATGCTGTTTTTAAGTCCTTTGAGTCTAAACCGAGGACTAGGATAGCTGGGTCAAATGGTGGTTCCATTCCAAGTTTTCAAAGGAAGCTCCATACTGCTTTCCATATTGGTTGCACCAATTTGCAGTCCCACCAGCAATATATGAGTGTACCTTATTCCCCACATCCTCACCGACACTTATTGTTGTTTTTATTCTTAATAGCTGCCATTCTGAGTGGAGTGAGATGAAATCTTAGAGTAGTTTTGATTTGCATTTCTCTAATTGCTAGAGATGTTGAACATTTTTTCATATATTTGGTGATTGATTGTATATCATCTTCTAAGAAGTGTCTGTTCAGCTCCATGGCCCATTTATTGATTGCATT